TATCATCTACATAAATCTATCCTAACCTGAAATTACAAGTGACAAGAAAAAGTGACATAATCTTTCACAGTCACTAAAGTTAATCTTCATCTTCAAAACCAGCAGATTCAACTGTGAGATTCAGATCAACTCAAAGAGTTCCTCCCCAAAAGAACAATGTCAAAAAGTTTTATTCTTGTATGCCATTTTGCTTCATGATATAAACGACATTAGTGTGCTTTCTTATGAGTTTCATATTATGTTCAGTTGTCTTATAATGCATGTCACTTGCAGTTTGCTTACTCTTTCATGAAGGAAAGCCAAAGTTTTTACAAACTGTTCTTGTTCAGGAAGCTGTTCTTCCTGTATCTTACTTCAGTGTATTGTGCTCTCCAGATTCTGAGAAATCCAGAGCATTTTGCTTCATTATTTTCATTCTCATGTTATCACCATGTCTTATTATAAATGCAGTCGACCTAATCAACATTTTACATCAAATCAATGGTTTAGCCATTTAACATGGAATATTGGGTAACTCTTTAGATTACAACCCGCAACGTACTGCGTAAGTAAACATAATTTAGAGTGTAACTTTTTTTGTAAGTATAGTGTACCTATTCAGTACCTCTGTGTAGGTATAAGGGAATAATATGTGAAGTTTGGGGAATTCATTGGCATCCTTCTGTCTCGAGAGACAATGGCGTATCTGCGCCCAGGTCAGTCTGTTGTGGAATTGCAGTACCTGCTGTGGCTAAACAGTCCAATACGAGAGTGGCAGAGTCTGTTGCAGTTACTACAGGTGAAGCCTGAGTTGAGCTGAATGTTTTTGCCTGGGCCAGCACTTCAGTGTTTGGGACACGGTCCTACCAGGTGATTCCAAGGATCCTTCTCAGGCAGCACAGATGGAAAGAGTTAAGTCTGCGTTCTTGCCAGGTGTACATAGTCCACGTCTCACTGCCATAGAGAAGAGTGCTGAGGACATTGGCCTGGTACACTTTCATCTTGGTGTTGGTGGTGAGCATGCTATTGTTCCACACTCTCTTGGTCAGACGGGCCATCGCTATTGATGCCTTGCCGATTCTGGTGTTCAGCTCGTTGTCCAAAGAGAGGTTGCTGGAGATGGTGGAGCCAAGATATGTAAAGTCCTCCACTACCTCAAGGGTGTGATCGCCGATGGAGATGCAGGGAGTGCTGCTGACATCCTGGCCCATGACGTTTGTTTTCTTTAGGCTGATGGTCAACCCAAACTCATCAGAAGTCGAGCGAAGCTGCTGATGAGACGCTGTAGTGCTTCCTCGGTATGGGCAGTCAGGGCGGCGTCATCAGCAAACAGCATCTTCCTAATCAGGACCCTGCGCACCTTGGTCTTTGCGCGCAGACGTGCAAGGTTGAAAAGGTTGCCATCACTCCTAGTGCGAATGAAGACACCATCTTCTGACTGACCGAAGGCGTGGCGCAGCAGTGATGGCTGGGTTTGGCTGTGATGGCTAGCTCAATTTCGGTTATTCCTGCTTCAAACCAGTCTCTGTCCATTTTCGTTAAGCTTGCCAATGCCAAAATAGCAGATACAACGGGGCCAGGAGTTGTGATCGGCTCCGATCCGGGCGTTGAAGTCCCCAAGTAGGAACAGGTGTTCTGTGGTAGGGATCTCTTTGATAGTGGTCTCAAGCTCTTCATAAAATTTGTCCTTTGACTCAGCTGAGGAGCAGAGTGTAGGAGCATAGATGCTCAGGATGTTGACTGGACCTGAAGAGGTAGAGAGGCGGAGAGAGAGGATTCTGGGCGTACCTCCAGAAGGCGGCTCAATTGAGGACAGCATGGAGTTCCTCACTGCAAATCCAACGCCGTGTATTCGAGGCTCCTTTCCCTGCCAGAAGAACGTGTAGTCCTGTTCTCTGAGGCTGCCGTTGGAAGGGAGTCTGGTCTCCTGTAGAGCAGCGATGTCGATGTCCAGTCGTTTCAGTTCATGGTTGATGATGGCTGTCTTCCTGGCATCATCAACTTGTTGTAGTTCGTCAGAGTGTCCAGGGCACATGGTTCTGACATTCATGTTTGCCAGCCGCAGGGCTGGCTGTTTGTTTTTTTTCCTTCTTATTTTGCCTGGTGCAAGTTTTGCAGTCTGCTTTTCGGTCGTTTCCCTAAGCTCCAAGCACCCATTGAAGCAGACAGACTGTGGCGGGTCAGCAACTTACTGACTGGGGGCTGCCCAGCTTAAGGCGGGCGTTAGCTGACCAGTGGGACCCGAGGATCCCTCCCACCGTCGGAGACAACCCGTAGCGCCCGAGCTTACGCCAATGCGCTCTGGGTTTATAACTCGTAACTGCCGTCTCCCGTGTTGTGTTGTCGTTGGAGCAGCGATACTGGAGTGACCTCTCCAGGGCGCAAACCTGGGCAGAGTGTATGGAGATCCTGGGATGCTCAATCGTCGAGATCCCCCTCTCGGCCTCACCGATGTAGTCCAAAGGAATGCAGAGCAGTACATTTGGCACCAGCTTGGCTGCAGGAGCTGCCGAAACAGTGCGTGAATACAGGCATCTGTCCGCCTTCGGGGCTCCACTCCTGATTTGGGGGTTTACTCCCCCACACTCGGCCGTTGGATCAGTCCAGGATCTCCTCCGCCCTTTAGCCGTTGGCTGCCAGAAGCAGCTCATCCGCCTAGTGGTGCAGTGTGAACACCACCCCCTCACGTGGTTTAGCCCGCCAGCTGAGGCGGTTTGCCAGGGTGTGGCACGTGGAGCCAGCACGTGAGAGATTTAGGAGATGGGTGAGGACCAGTGTTGCCCGTCCACCCTACCAAGTAGGGTGCAGCTGCCGGACAGCAAAGGTACTACCTCTATCCAGACCCCCTACACCCCTAGTTTGGGGAATAATGGGGCAAACCTGTAAAATTTAAAATTATTTCTACTGTAAGTATTTTGAAACTAAGGGGTACCTATTCTAATATTACGTGGTATGTAGGCTATGACCTAACAACAATCTTATATTTGCAAGCGATTTGGCAAAAACACACTGTGTAGGCCTACTTTTTAAACACGCTGGGTTATTGTTTCAATCCAAACGCCCGGTTGAGACTGTTGGTTAGGAAGCTGACTTGATTTGATATCAGTAATAAGTAACCCAACGGTCCTGGGTTAGGAACAGTGTTGCCAAGTCCGTGGTTTTCCCAGGGAATTTTTACCGGGGAACCCCCCTCGAACACGATTGGGCTAGTTTTGAGTAGCAATTGGGTGGGTTTTTTTTGTGTGAAAATCTGGCAACCCTGGTTAGGAATGTGGAGGTTCAAACGTGAACGCTTCTGTGTGCGACGAAATCCATGTCTGCGGTGCTTAAGATTGAAACCTGTGAAAAATAGGAAAAAAATAATCGAAGTGCAGACGAGGGACAACTTTGAAACTGTCTGGAGTGTGTTCGTTCAAAACTGGACCAGTGAATGTGGTGATCCAGAACTGGAAACAGCTTGAATGGCGCTTGAGACAAGTCTATCCATGTTTGCGGCGCTCCTGACAGGAATATGTGTCAAAATACAAGAAAACTAATCAAAGCGAAGAGGAGAGAGATTTTTGAAACCGACTGGAAAGTGTTCCTTTAAAACTGGAGGGTTTTGCTTGACTTTCAGTGTTTATTACTGTGTTTATTGACGTGATGGTTTGACCATAATCATTTAACTTCATCAGTGGGTGAAAAACATGAACAAATTGAACAAAATCATTAATTTGTTCTCAAACAAGCTTTTCAAAAGAATTTGGTTGAACTGTATAAGCTGATTTTAATTTAAAAACCCAAATTTCAAATAATATTTGAATGAAATAAAACAGTCACCATGTTTATTGATATATTACCTGATATATAATGTATGTATGTATATAAACAATCGTTTCAGAGCAATTTGTTGTAGCCACATCCTGTAACTACATGGAATAAGGGGGAACAAGCACCACTTTAATTTACAGCCCGCAAATGTTGTATTTGCCCTATAACTACATGGAATAAGGGGGGGACAAGCACCACTTTAGTTTACTGCCCGCAAATGTTGTATTTACCCTTTAACTACATGGAATAAGGGAGGAACAAGTTGGGTTTAAACACAGAAGAAATGTATATTTGCACAGAAATTACAGAGAAAAATATTGCTTGATGGCCAAATTAAACCCTCTTTTATTTATTTTTTGCTATAAAAACATCACAGTATATATCCACTGAAATACAAATGTTCTATCATGTATTATTTCTGCGAACAGCTGGAAAGAGGTAAGCTTGTTTTAAGCTGCATTGAACATTAATGTTATATCTTGCAAAGTTATTTGGTGATAGTGGTGTTGGGAAGTTGCTGGTGTGAAGTTGCTGAAATCGACGAATAAGCTTTCATAAGGTAAGCTGAGTTGTGAGTTATAAATCATAGCTGAAACTCATTAACTCATTTCACTAGACGTCCAGTTTTGTTTTTTAGTAATCTCCATCATGTTTCCTTTAATAATAGAATGGTTAAAAATACATAGGCCTATAATAAAATACCAGTATAAAATTTTAAAAAGTATGTTGTCTTTCTAAATCACTCCCAAACAAAATATCATTGTTTAGGCCAGGGTCCCCAAACTACGGCCCGCGGGCCGAATGTGGCCCACCCCCACATTTGGCCCTCTGAACAG